TTTAAAAACAATGAAAACGTTTTTAATTTTAATAAACTTAGTTTAAGTTTTTCAAAAATAATATGAAAGTTCGGCTTCTGTCGACCAATCCAAAGATCGAGAAGAAGTATATTCTCAGCTTTCATTCGTGAATACGGTGATAGTTCCACTGCTGCACCGAGAACCGGCCAACCACTGCAAATTTTTCGATTATATAGTGGTACCAGCAATGGCAGAATTCCTATATTTCAGACATTCTACAGAATTCTATAGAATTCTACATTTTCTCTATGAATTCTGCAACAACTTTTCCACAGCTGAAACATGATAAGTCCGAGTTATTCTCAAAACAGAAATCTAGGAAATGTATAGAATTTTATAGAATTCTAAGTTAGTACAAATATATTTATTACTGACCAAGTTTGAGTCAAGCGGAAAATTTTCGATCCGGTGATATTTGCGTGTTAGGCTAGAAAGAAAATTGAAAGTAAGAAGGAAACTACTTTTGTTTACGATCCTAGTCGTGATTGTTCCAGGTCTCAAATACCGGAAAGTATCGCTGGTTTATCACTAGTCATCTCGTCATTGACGTCATTAATTTATGATGCAGTACTCAAACTTCGTCAATTCATCACACACGCTACTTTCTGGAAATTTACTATTGCGTCTTTATCGTTCGCAAACACTGTCAGCCTGAGAGGAGGATGTACGAGTATTGTGAAGTGAGACTAAGAAGAAAAGCATGTAAAGATAATCAAAGAGTGTGTCAGCTGTAAAGTTTTAAATACAAAAAAAATACAATTTCTTGTTCTTACTTTCTCTTCATGTCGATGTTAGATGCCTTCGTTTTACATTGTACTCTGTTATTGAAGAGAACATCGAAAAAAACAAAGTACAAATGAACGTGAAAAAGCTTACGTTCATGTTATGCACCTGGAATCTGTCTAACATTACTTATTTGCTATGGGTCTAATATTAATCTTCTTAACAATTATTCTCAGGGCAGACAAAATAGTCGAAGAAACGAAAAAATTATTTTCTTAGGTGTACATACAGTTCACGATAAAAAATAACTTTTCGACTTTTCGACTTTTTTTTATTAACATGGCCTTTCTATGTAACGTTAAGTTGATATTCGTGATGTAGATCGAACCATATAAAATTCGGTTAGTTTTTTTCACGTTTTTCGTCGATCTTGTACGCGAAACATATCTGTACGACCAGACATGTGCGCCGATAAAAATTTTTCGGCGGCGGCGAATGAAACTTTTACCATGGCGGCGGCGGCGCGAGGATATAAAAATTTCCTGTACCTTCGGCGGCGGCGGCGCGAGGTTATGAAAACTTCCTCCGCCTTCGGCGGTGGCGTGTAAATATTAGTTATCAGCGGCGAATCTTATAATTTAAGTAAAACAACGTTCTCTTTCATTTCTGGCACGTTCTTCGCGCCCTGACTGTATCTGTACGTTGCCGTATACGAAAACATAGAAATGCGCTGCACGCTAGATGCATAACGTAAGAACGTACTAACAAAAATAGTCAAAATTTTCTCCGCCCTCGGCGGCGACAAAAGTTCAGCGACATGGCGGCGACGCGGAAGTCAGAACAGTTTTTCTCCGCTGTCAGCGGCGGCGGCGAACCGGCGCGTCATCTCCGTGTACGACAGCATTGTCGTTATTTCTCATTCGTTTAACATTTTTGCCAATGGCACACTAAGATCAAAAATTGATGACTTATTTACGGCCAGAAGAAGTCAACGACGTAAAGTGACGTTAGAAGTTAACTGTCAATTGGTATGTGGACTTTGGATATGTAAAAGAATTTCTTCTGTGAATTATTTGGATGGACTGCAAGAAAAACAACGGGACATGAAATGTCATTTCGCCCGTGTTTAGATCTAGAACTTCCATCTAAATAATTTGACAGATGATAAATGAGTGAGTCATGATTAAGTTACAAATGATATAAAAAAATGCGTTCGGAAAGGAGATTACTATTAACTTATCTTCGTTTATTTCCTTTTTCTCACTGTTTTCATTTTCTTCTTTGCTACTTTTTAGGTTAATTTATGTATTGTCATCTGATAGTTAAACGGACGTAACATTGTTCTCTGCTTGTTATACGTCGACGCGATATAATAAAGAGATAACTAAAGTGTATTTTAGATTATCAAACTTTGACGTAAAATATTCAGATTAAAAAATCAGATTATGGATGATTCTATCATTATCAACCAGCGAGAGATTGCCGGGATTCAAGGTAAAATATGATTTATTTTTTGCTTTGAATCTGTTTTCTGATTTATATATTTTTAGGTTGAATATAACGAAACGCTAAAAATTGTTCCATGCAGATGTCAATCATCATTGATCACTGAAGAATTACATGGCAGGCTATTTATGTGGTGGGTAAATAAAGGAGAACCAGGGAGGGTATTCGAATCAAGTGTCGGGTTTAATTTTGGCACAGATGACACGGATAACAAAATAATCTATAGTCCAGATGTATCATGGGTTGAAAATGGTGTTGATCGAAATGTTACGTTCCCGAAGGCGATACCCAAATTTGTGATTGAGGTACAATCTAAATATCAAAAAATATCTCAACAGCGTGATAAAATGATGTTTTATCGCGATCGTGGTGTTGCCCTTGGTTGGCTGATAATACCTGCGTTAACATCATCATTGGATGCAATATTGGAGATATACGAGCCAGGAAAAGTCACACGTACAATTCAGACACCAATGGTTGTTTCTGCTGATCTTATTGTGCCTGGATTTAGCATTGATTTTAGCAAAATATTTTTATACGATTGCCGTTAATTTTTATTTTCTAAAAATAGATTATGTATACGTAATCTATCGATTTATCTGTAATGTATTTTTTGTAAATTTTTTCCCTCATACGTGTGTATTTTTGTAATGGAATAAATGCGTTGTTTTTCTGTTTATTGTACTCTACTTAAAAATTTTGTCGCTGTAGTTGTTGTTAAAATAATAAAATGAGAAGAAGCAAATGTTTTTGATGGTGATTTTTCCTGATAAGGTCAGCTTTGTTTTCACGTTGTGTTTTAAAGAAGGTATTTTCTTTTTAGTATCTAACTAACACTGGACAACACCCAGGTTGATATTAGTAATGCTTCCGAAGTTTAGAGCTCTCTTTCTTCTTTTTGTAGTCTATTGTATATACAATTTTTTACGCCAGAATATTCCTAAAATGTGGTCTAAAAACTGATGTTTTTAGGTGATCGAGAACAAAACTAGCTATACCTTTTTAGGTATCTCGTCCGATTATTGTAGTTACTGTAATAGGGATAAAATTCGTGTACAGAGTTTACCGCCTGGTTGAATGTAGTGTTGTAAGTGGCTTGTTGTTTATCTATTTCAGAAAATGACAAACGATAATCATACAAATTTAGAAAAACTCATTAACAGTTTGCGCAGTTCGACAGCTTTCTAATGAACCAGAGAAAAACAATTCTCTTATCAAAGAGGTTTGTTATAAAGTTCTTTGATCCCTCATACACCAGTTTTTCTTTTTATTTGCAGACTGTTGGAAAATTACAAGACTTTCATCGGTTTTACCATAGGATAAAAAATGCTGCCTATCAGAAGGGAGAGTATCAGATTTGGGACAACCAAAGATATCTTATCTGTTGAAGAGACGAATTTGTAATCGACAAAAGCAATTTTCTGATATGTTGCTGCTAATGTATATGCTTCTAAATGAATAGTCAACGGTTTTGAACAACGATTTGTTGATTTTGCACGGCATGCACCCCAATACCGTTGTTGACCACCTGATGAGGACAGTATCAATTGTCTTAAACGCGATAAAAAGTGAAAACTGATTTAGAAGCTGCATGAAGCCGCAGAGAACCATAAAAGGTTCTAGTTAAGTTAATTTTGATATTTGTTCGATCATCAATCAATCGAACTCTATCTATTGGTCGTATTAGATTTTAATTCTGATCTGTTAATAGATGTTTTGGTATTGTACAAGTACGTAACCACCCGTGAATGCAGATTATTCATGGAATCCCGTATTAATTGACAATAACTAATGATAGTCGATACAATCCACTTGGACTTCAAGCAGACTGAACACGACCAACAATAATGAACTTATCAAAAATCTTGATCCATATTATTTACCACCAGCACTAAAACAATTTATTCAGAGTCATTCTACAGAAGAAATAGATGGTAAAATAGATTTAGCTCGAATATTCCTCTGATAATTAATCAAAAGTTTATCTCTTTTTTAAGCAGTTATCATTGTTGCAAGAACGTCAAAATAATATTTTTTTATAAACTTTAATAAAAGACCAGAAAAAATGACAAATTAAATTTTTTATTTACACAGTTCCGAAATCAATTGCTGATAAAACTAGGGTTCCTCAATAAACAGGCAGGAAGAAAAGTTGAGTAGATGTAGTAATAAGTCGAAACAAGGAAGCTAATACAGAATATATAACTTGTTAATTAGCGATATGAAATGTGGAGTTGAGTCAGGCACGACAGGAGACGACAAGAGCAAATAGGAACGGATACTCATTGAGGTGAGGAGAAACCCAAAGAAGTTCTAGTTTAGTTCGTAAAAACGAAGTTCTCTTCTGGAAAAAAACAGTTGTCTTGTGGAACACCTAAACACAAGTTCTTTAGAAAAAAATTTGGAGTTCTAATGAAGAAGCACCAAGTTCTGGAGGATAAGCCGTGAACTTCTGGTGGAGAAACACCAATTTCTTGAGGGAGAAGGATGAAGTTCTCTTGTGGAAAGACCAAGTTCTTGAGGAAAACATTTGGAGTTCTTATGAAGAAACACCAAGTTCTCGAGAATAAACGATGAAGTTTTGGTGTAGATAAAGCTCTCTTGTGGAAACACCAAGTTCTTGACGAAAGAAGATGAAGTTCTGGTGAAGAAATACCAAGTTCTTCAAGAAAGATGATGAAATTCCGGTGGAGATACACCGATTTCTTGAGGAAAGAAGATGGAGTTCTCGTGAAGGAACACGAACTTTTTTAGGAGAAAGTTTGTAGTTCTGGTGGAGAAAACACCAAGCTATTGAGGATCAAAGACGAAGTTCTCCTGCGGAAACACCAAGGTCTTGCGAACAAAGAATGAAGCTCTCTTGTAGAAACACCAGGTTCTTGACCAAAGAAGATGTAGATAAAGAGAATGTATTTAGTGAAGAAGCACTAAGTCCTCTTGAGGACACGTCATAAAGTTCTGGTGGAGAAACACCAATTTCTTGAGGGAGAAGGATGAAGTTCTCTTGTAGAAAGACAAAGTTCTCCGGGAAGAAAGATGCAGCTTTGGTGAAGAAAGACTAGGTTGTTGAGGAAAGTATTTGGAGTTCTCACGAAGAAACAGCAAGTTCTTGAGTATAAAAGATGAAGTTCCGGCGGAGAAACCCCAAGTTTGTCACGAAAAAAGATGAAGTACTGGTGCCGCACCAGTACTTCATCTTCTTTCCTCAAGACTCGTGTTTCTGAGAAACACCAAGTTCTGGAGAAAAAAAGATGAAGTTTTCTTGCAGAAACACGAAGTTCTTGCGGACAAGCCGTGAACTTCTGGTGGAGAAACACCAAGTTTTTGATGGAAGAAGATGAAGTTCTGCTGGAGTTAGACGAAGGTCTTGAGTTTAAACGATGAAGTTTTCCTGCAGAAACACCATGGTTTTGAGCACAAAGATGAAGTTTTCTTGTAGAAATACCAAATTCTTCTGGACAGTCGATGAAGTTCTACAACTATTTCAGTTTCTTTTTAAACGGTAAAATGGCTGTTCAATTCAACCAGGTTTCTGAACAGATTGGGGCTACACTGACTCTTTCACGTACTTATTCCGCAAATGAAATTTTTTTCACACTCACTCTCACGCTGCCTACTGCAATAACATTTCAATTCGCAAAGGAGCCGTGTCACACAAAACTGGTAATGTCAGCTTCCGCAGCTTAATAAACTCTCCATGCTCTAGTTGAATCTCAGATGGCATATTGTCCATCTATAAAACAATTTTTCCTTCCTAAGTTTTAAAATTAATCCAGTCTTTAATTGTTAGTTTTGAAAAAGAATATCCTAACTGAAACTGTCTTGAATCCACAAGATGGTTTGTTTAACAGAAATATCTTCTTCTAATGTTTTATAACGACTGCTGATGAGGGAAAAGGTAAACAATAAAAATTTCTGTTATTAGCATCAAAAGGCAGAAAGATGCATATCAATGTGGAACCTTAAAAATACAGCCACACCTGCTTTTAAGGCTCCCCCATTCAGTCAGAAAAGTAGAGCAATAATTATCATTTTATTTGGTGAAGAGTGAAGATAAATTTGATCTTGAATGTAGAATACATATCGGCGCTTCCATTGAAGATTACAGAGGATTTAGTGGTATTATATTTAAATTTTCAAACAAAACAAAAAAGAATGAAAGAAGATATTCTAGAATATTATTATTCTAAGAAAAAGCGAAGATTTAAAATACTTATAAAACAGGACACATATTCCTTATCACTTGTAATACAAGAAGAAAAAGACGATATAGCACACGCAACCATATTAGCACTGGCAAGTAGTAAGATATTCGATTATATTATCACTGGCCAACAAGGAAAAGATGATATCTTGTTTAGAAACTATAAACATCTGTAGCTAATTAAACAGTGTACTGTAGTATTTTGACCTTTCCACATCTGATCTAAAATTTCGTTTTTTCACTCAAGCTCTTCGATAAATGGCATCGTATTTGATTGCATTTTTGCTCTGTGTTTTGGTATCGAATGTTGTTCCATGGACATTAGATTATCCATCGGCTCAACAAGTATCATCACCTCATTTCAACCGTGGACGATCTGGACACGCAATAAAAGCGATCGTATTACACGGCACAGCTGGTGGTGGTGAGTTTGATCAAGCGTTCATCCTGCTAGTTGTGTTGATTGTATGACTTTTTGGTTTTCAGGTACTGTTCAGTGGTTTCTAAACCCAGCCAGTAAAGTATCAGCCCATTATGTTGTGGAACAAGATGGTAGAGTAGTTCAAATGGTCAGTGAAGATGATACAGCGTGGCACGCTGGCGTTGTAACTACTAACAGTCAGTTTTACGGACAACCAAATCCAAATTTATGGGCGATCGGTATTGAATTCAGGTGAGAGAAAAAACATACAAATAATTTCCTTCCACATTGCAGAATTCTTTTTCTCAGTCGAAATATAAATAATGATAACGATATGCCCGAAGTACAAATCCAAGCTGGTCTTAGATTGGTCTCCGATATATTACGTCGTTATGGCAAGTTACCACGATACACCCATGATCAAATCAGTGTTGGTCGTATATGTCCTGGTCCTAAATTCCCAACTTCTCGATTTTTAGCTCTATAAGAAACCGAAGTGGCCATATATAGTTACTTTCTTTACTGCTTATCTGATTCTTTGTAAAGCTCATTAACTAATTCAATAAAACCTGAATGGTATTTGAGAAGAAATAGCAGTCTCAGTACTTTAAATGTAGCCGACTGAAATTCTGTTTTGGCTATGCCAGAATGATAATCGGATTAAAATAATTTATTTTATTTTTCCATCGAAATAATAAAAATTAAAAAGTTAACAAAGAAGAAAAAAAAGATTAAAAGATGGCAAGATGGCTGGGTTTTTTTCTGTACAAAAACGTTTTCAATGCTTCATCAGTTGGCCAGAGAAAGAAAATGAGCGGGAATGCGATTCACATCGGTTAATAAAGTGAATAGAGTGAATAGATAAGAGAGGAATGCTCTAGGAAGATGCATAACTGTTTGTGCATGCAGTATATGAGTGGTAATAAAAAGAATATGGGATATTTTGATGATTCAGTAGTGGAATGCGAGCAACAGAAAGAAATGAAACTATCATAGGATGGGAAAGAAAGAGAGAAATGAATCGTCTCTCATATATGTATGTTTATCACTTGTACGTGGAAACATTGCTGAGATATAGGAAAGGAAATTGAATGATAGCTTTTTATTATGGATGGCAAGGATTGGATGATAATTTTGAATAAGCAAAACAATTAAAAAAAGTTAAAAAGATTGAATAAAAGGAATTGTATCAGAAACTTTCATGTATTCGAGACAAGAGGGTGGGGCGGAGGCGGTGTGAGAGTGAGGGTATTTTTTGCAGTGAGTATTTGTTATCGCGATTGGCGAGTAAGAAAAGTGAGGAAAAAGCATCTGAGCTAAAGTTCTATAAGAGACAGAAGTAATTGTCTTCTTAGTCTATTCCCATTGCTTGTAATTGTCTTGAGGCTACTTCATACGGCTTTGAAGCGGTATTCAATTTTTGTATATGTGTGTGAGGAGACGTTGCTACCCGCTGAATCGTAAAAAATAAATTAATTCTAACAACAAATATTGATATATTTGAATCTATTATTCTGAAGGATAACTGATACAGCTATAAAAAAGAACAGCAAAAAGTTTACGACCCTTAAAAAAGGTTTATTTTTCGATTTCTAACTTAGGTGTTTACTCTGTTTTTTATAGAGAAATATTTTCTTATTCTTTCTTACAAATTCAACGTTTATTATTTTAATTATTTTTTTTGTTCTTTTCTTATCGATAAAAGACATTATCAAAATCCCTACTTGCATCACAAATAAAAACATTACCACAAAAAAAGAATCAGCTCAACATTTTTCATAAATTTAATAGATTGAGTAGATTGAGAGTAATTCCCATAAGAAAAAAAACCCTCCAGCGCATACAAAACTGAACATATCAACTTACAAGTTAGGGCCTACAGGTTAACCACCATGCCGAATCCAATGGTAATATCAGTTTTCTTTCATTTTGGCTTTCATAATGGGATGCTGGAAAACCTGGATTTTGATCCTACGGGTCCTGGGATCATTTTTATAAAAAGTTCCACTACAATTGATAGTTTTATTCACTGTACTCATCGAATAAAACTTGCACTAATTTATAGCAAAAAAAGTTCCAATCAATTGAAGTATTCATTTTTCGTGCTAAAGGAGGAGAGTGACTGATATTATCCGAAAATTGAACTTTAACAAGATCACATAGTTCACAGAGATTATCATCTATTTCTAAATTATGAGTTATGAGTAGAGCTAGTAAGCAAGAGCAGTCCTGATACGTTGATTCTCACTAATTCGTGTCGGCTCGCGAACTGACTGTTTGAATTTTAGGGTTTTAACAATTTCAAAAACGTTTTGCTCAGAATCATTAGATGGATATGTATTATACCAAACGTCACAATGGGCGTTCAAATCTCCTAGTAAGAAAACAGGATCAAAAGAGTTCGCTTGTGGCACATCACGGATGCTTTCTGTCAAATATTCGATATAAGAATCTCCCCCAGCGTTACCCAAGCAAAATCACCTATGACAAAAATCTAGATACATTTTATCCGTAATTACGAGTTGTCATGTAGATTACTAATTGGAATAGGGATTTTTAACTAGACGTCTCTGCATGTATAACTAGCAATAATTAAATCGATCGATTAGTGGGCGATAAATCGATAGTTGCAATTAGAAGAAATTAGCAATCCCCCGATTACTAGATTTTCACTGTCATTACCACATAATTACAGTCCATATCAAAATTTGATGGCTTTTTAGCGAGTGAAAATCTAGTAATCTAGATGAATCGGGCGATACTTGATTATTTTTCTATGTCTGATCACTGATAGAAAAATATGACCGATTTTTGGAATAAGAGCATCGAAAGCATGATCTCAAAATTGATGTCTTCCAGACTCTCTTCAACGTCCTTTAATTTTTAAATGGTCTTTGTAGTAAATCAAACAACCACCTGCCACTCTATTCTCACTCGAGGAGTGAGAATGGAGGAGAATCGAGGAGTCTTTTCCTTAATTCCCTCAACTTCATTTTAAGAGCCCATAGTAAAGAACTTTCTTAATATAATAAATGTATTACTTTAATTAGGAGGCAAATACTACACACGTTTCCGAGATTGATGATGGTGAGTGAAATGCACCACTTCTTCTATAGAAATGCACATGAATAATGGTGAAAAAAAATAACCAAAAAAAAATAAAAAGATTCGAGCAGGAATAGAACCCGCGATGATGAAAAGACGGGAGGCCGTGAGAGGGGCCGTTAAAAAAGTTTAAAGTTAAGGTAAGGTAAAGCACTTTTAAACTTTAAATTTTTAAAGTAAACTCAAAGTGGTGCCCCTACTCGTAGGCTTTCTAATTATAATGTTGGGTTTAACGAACCGTTCGAAAACAATACTAATTATAGACACTTAAAAGCTGTCATACGTTTCTCTGAAAAAAGTTTACTGTTTAATTTTTTTTAAAAATATGGCAGTTCAGCAATTAAAACTTAAAATTTCTCAAAACTAAATCATAAAAAGGAACTCACCATATCAAATAATCTATACGGAGCAAAAATTTTAAACAATGGTGAGTTTTGCTATGTATGTGTGCATGTGTGATTATGATTCAATAAGTAAGTACCGAGACTCTTGCTCCGACATTCCATGTTCAAATCACGGCAAAAGCTTCCCCCCGGTTTTCCAAAAACCGCAGCAAATTTTCTCCGATTTTCGGAGTACCCTCCCCCTGCTTTTACCTCTTTGCGGTCCGTCTTTGCGGGTGAAGGGCTGCTTTTCAATCCAAAATTTTTACCTGCGAGGTACTTAGTAGCTCTATTGTTGGAACGCTACAGTAAGTGTCGCATCCAAAAATTCTGAGCGTACAATTGTTTTCTTAATAACCGGAGAACGATAGGAGATAAAGACCGGAGATTTTCGCCATTGTACACAAGAGATTCTAGGTATGAAAGTACGAACAAATTTGATTGATAAATTTGTTGATCAAGCGAATTTTAGTATATTTTCATGGTCAGTAATATTCTTTTGATCAAGTTTTCAATGAAAATGTTTCAAAACGATAACAACATTTTATAAAGAAGTTTTCTTCAACCCTAAACTAACATAGAACTGATTCAAAGAGTTCACCAAAAGGATTTATTAGAGTGGTTCTCAAGCGATTTTTCAAAGCATTCATCAAAGCGACTGTTTTTTAACATACATCAAGCGCATGATGTATCACATTCTTTCTGATGCGTCATATATCGTCATTGGAATTTTCACATCACACTATCCGATGACACTTCGGGAATGTTTCACGATGTTCTATACATATATAGGCCGATTTTTCTATTGTTTTTTTGTATCAGAACTATATTCACTATAGTGTTTCTTATCTTCTCTCGATTCGACTAATAAACGTACTCA